ATTTCAGAGTCTCTTCTGACATCCATTTTGATCTTTTCTTCCTTTCCTGTCTTTTTAATGACCTTTTGCTTTCTTCATGAATGATATTCTTGATGTCATCCCACAAGTCCTCTGGTTTTTGGTCATTGGTTTTCAATGCATCAAATCTATTCTTTAGATGGTCTCTAAATTCAGGAGGGATATAATCAAGATCATATTTTGGCTTTCATGGACTTCTTCTAGTTGTCTTCAGCCTCAACTTAAACTTGCATAAGAGTAGTTGATGTTCTGTACCAAAATCAGCTCCTGGCTTGCTTTGGCTGAAGATTTTGAGCTTCTTCATCGCCTCTTGCCACAGATATAGTCAATGTGATTCCTGTGTGCTCTGTCTGGCAATGTCCTCATGCAAAGCCGCTATGTGTGCTTTTGAGAAAAGTATTTTCAATGAATAAGTCATTGGTCCTGCAAAATTCTGTCACATGACCTCCAGTGTCATTTCCATCACCAAGGCCATATTTTCCAGCTACTGGTGATTCTTCTTTGATCCCAACTTTTGCATTCCAACCACCAGTGATAATTAACACATCTTGATTACATGTTTGGTCAATTTCAGACTGCAGAAGTTCGTAAAAATTTTCAATTTCCTCCTCTTTGGCTTTGGTGGTTGGTGCACAAATTTGAATAATAGTAGTAGTAACTGGTTTTCTTCATAAGTGTATGGATATCCTATCACTGACAGCATTGTACTTCAGGATAGATATTCATACATTCTTTGTGATGATGAGTGCCATGACATTCTTCTTCAATTTGTCATTCTCAGCTAAGTAGATCATATGATCATCTGATTTACAATGGCCAAAACCAGTCCATTTCAGCTCAGTAATGCCTAGGATATTGATCTTTATGCATTCCACTTCATTTTTTTAACAACTTCTAATTTTCCTAGATTCATACTTCATACATTCCATATCCCAATTATTAATGGATGTTTGCAGCTGTTTCTTCTCATCTTGAGACATGCCATGTCAGCAAATGTTGGTCCCCAAAAGCATTACTGTATCCACATCATTAAGTTTGGTCTACTCTGAGAAGGCAGCTCTTCTCCAGTCATATTTTGAGTGCTCTGGCTAAGGGGTTCATCTTTTGGCACTATATTGCACAATGCTTCAGGGATATTCATAAAGTTTTCCAGTAATATATCAGACTGTTTCACTGCTATTCATAAGGTTTTCACTGGCCAATTCTTTGGGAAGTGGATGGCCTCTTCCTTCTTTCAAGTCTGTCTTAGTCTGGAAGCTTCGCTGAAACCTGTCCACCAAGGGTAACCCTGATGGCATTTACAACACTGGTGGCATAGCCTATAGCCTCACAGCAACATTCAAGCCACCACAATAGGACAAATTGACAGATAAGTTTGTCTCCCTTAGTTGTTCCAAATTGCACTGCTCATTTCCTGGTCTCCCACACCCTGCTTGCTTACCTGGCCTGCCCCCAGAGCACAAACACTCACCTTCCGCTGTTCCTGGGCTGGCTTACTGCAGCCCGCCCCCAGGACACTTGCTCCATACACACAAACTATTCCCTTCTACTGGTCTTGGGGCTGGCTGAGAATACTGAATTTTATTCTTTACCACATTGGTGAGGAGAGTAAGAACATATTTTTTTTTTTTTTTTTTTTACCGTTCATCTTAAAGTCAGAGAACAAATTTACCGTATTGAAATACTCCATTCCAGAGCTGCTGAAGGCTTCTGCAATTTCTTTGGTTGTTACTACACATGCCACTGGGTGGCCATTGCCCATTGGTTTTCCCATTGTGACAATGTCAGGAACAAAGTCTTCGCCATGCATTTGGAAGCTCCAGAAATGTTTTCCAACTCGGCCAAAGCCAACTTGAACTTCATCAGCTATAAATACACCCCCTGCTCCATGTACATATCTGAAAAGCAAAGAAAAGTCTAAGGATTTCAGGTCACTGAGAGTCCCTAAGTCCATCCATAAAAGTATACGAGCTTATTGAAGACTTAAAAACAATTTAACTTGTAGCTTGTGATCTTTGTTGAAAACATATCTGTATTTAAAACCCCAATGATACCTATGTGATGTCTTTGACTTTGCCATAGAATCACATGGCTTCTAGATTGTATATATTTCACATTATTTGGGTTTGTGCTGCTAAAAATAAGCTATATAGTGTTTTAAGTGGGAGTAGAAAAAATCAAACAATAGGTAATTTTTAGCAGGGTTAATTTTCAAATGGTTACTAATTGGTAAAGCTTGGGTAGTAGGCAGCTGGAGACAATGCCAGTCAGAGGGCTGGAGCAGAGTTCTAGAGGACTGAGTGTTCGACTAAGAAACCAATCAACTGCTGTGGATTTGAGTCTGAGTCATGGCAATGCTCTGTGTGTCAGAGTAGAACAGTGCTTCATAGGGTTTTCAATGGCTGGGTTTTTGAAAGTAGATCACCAGGCCTTTCTTCTGAGTTGTCTTTAGCTAGACTCCAACTTCCAACCTTTTGGCTAACACCCAAGCATGTTACCTGTTTGTACCATCCAGGAACTTCACTGGACTAAGTATAAACCCTTTATTTGCTGGATCTTAGGAAGGTGGTGGAGTGTCTGGGAGGCTGGAGTGGCTATTTATGAGCTAACTTGGAATTATTTCAATATTTTAAAACCAGTATGGCCCTATGGACTTGTATCTGCCTTGGTTTTTACTAGAAAAAAAAAAAAAAACTGTCATAGTGCCCTCAGTTTGACCAAGGATGCCCAAGTCAAGTACATACTCTGCCACTTTCTGGAAGTAGCCTGCTGGAGGAATTATTTGTCCGCCACAACTCTGCATGGATTCAGCAATAAAGGCAGCGATCTACACAAGAGAATATGGGGTCAAAGTCCATTAGGTCCCCCTTCTACCCACTAAAAAAGAGAATTTCATACAGAGTAGGTTATTTCAAAAAACAGCTGGCAAATTATAAGACGGCCATTGGATTAAAAAGATAAGAAAGGAGAAGAGAGGACAAAACCTTCTATGTTGGAAAGCCAGTGGTCTGAAAAATTAATTTCTGAAATTTTAGAGAAGCAAAGAAAACTGCCATGAGAAACAGAGGAGATGAGAGGTTGCCTTCCATTTCTCCAAAATGAGTTTTAATGCAGTGTTTTATTAGGAGAACTAAGTAAGACTAATGTTTTCATCAGTCATTGATATAAACATTTAAAAACATGACCCAGATTCCAAAATCATCAATGGGTGCCTGCTTTCTCAGCTTGGAGAAAGAGAACTGCCTTAGGTTAGGAGTTGCACTAAGGAAATGGTCAGATGTCCCAAATGCCATAATTTCTATGCTTAATTTGCAGTTCTTGGCCTGAACTAGGCTTAACAGATTAGGATTTCAAAAGAGAACTACAGATGAAGCATTCTAGAGGCTACGAAAGGAAAAGTACAAACAGATAATGCTGAAGCAAGAAGAGAAAGCTCAGACAGAGTATAAAAAGTCAATAGAACCAAGGCCACAGTCATGACTACCCCTTAGTAAATTGTATTAATTGTGTTAAGTCCCTCACTTTTAGTCATTTAGTTTACTTATCTGTAAAATGAAGCTATTGGTCTAAAGAGATTTCTCCTATAACATTTCATAACTTTACAAACACATCTAATATTTTGAAGGATCCATCTTATATTTGGTGTTGTTTTAAGCATTGCTAACTCCACTGATCACCTCTCAATCTTAATTCTTCTTGAAGAAACCTCTTGTTCCTTAAGGGATGACATTAATCCAATAACTGTTGAATGCTAATGTTCTAAAAAATTATGAAAACTCTCTTTTAGTAGCAAAAATTTCATATGATCTTGTCAGTGCAAGCTTTTTCCTGTATTTACTGTTTGCTTAAAGACATATAGGCTGTGTTTGAAAAGGAAAAGAATATGAAGTTACCCACAACAACTAGCACTCTAGGTCATTTTTTGTTCTCTGCACAGATACCTCACAGAAAGCTATGAAAATTGAATGGGTTGGGGGAAAAGAAAGTTGAGAAATATAAATGGTGTTCCAGTCAGTAAGACAAAAATATTTAAATTAATCAGAAAAAGAGAGGCATCATTTTTATCTCAATGAAGAGACATTTCATTGTCACATTTATGCCATAAACCAGTGTAAAGGCAAAGTATGTGCCAAATTGCATTAAAACTCCATATAACCAACCCCAAAATGGACTGAGAACTAGGGTGAAGACTGAGAAAATGGAAACTCTTTCTCCTGCTTTCAAGGATTCTGGTTCTATCTTAGAAGTCCAGGCCCAGATTGGAAGAACATTTTTCTGCCATGGCCTAAAGGTACAGACCATCCCCAGCCTCCATGATTTAGGAAGGTTGCATCAGTTCAAGGGAAACCCCAAGGTCTGGAGCCTGCCTTGGTCTTGGCAGGGATGGAGTACCTAGTAAGAAAGATAAACAAGGGCTCACTTGCACTTAGTTCTACAGTGCTTACCTTGCTTAGTGGGTAATCCATCCCTGACAGGCACTGTAAATTTGAAAAGGGCTTTTGACACCACTCAAGAGATAGAGAGTTGCAGATTGGATAAGAAAACAAAACCCATCAATATGCTGCCTACAAGAGACACACCTTAGAGATAAAGACAAAAATAGATTAAAA